GGTGCTTCATGACAGTAGTGGAGGGAAAAGAGGATTCTGGACCAGAACTGTCCTGTGGTCAGCGGAAATGCAGTTACTTAAATCCATTGGTCAACATCCTCATGAAGGCAAAGGCAAAACCAGTTTATATATAGTTTATATACCACCCTTTATAGACCTATCTATGGGCTTCTTCGTTACCACTTGGTTATCCACCATGTAAATGCAGCCTGCTAGCAACTAGTTACCTGTGAATCCCCATGTCTCTTAGCTGAAAGCAAAGTGATTTTAAAAGATGCTGGAGTTATTTATCATTCCAGGTTCCTGTGCATCTTCCTCAGCAGCTGATGCGATCCTTGGAAGAAAGCAGAGTGCTTGTGTATTTGCAAAACATTCACAGAAGAGAGGCTGGCACCGTGCCCTATCCCCCTCCAGAGGTTAAAGGTTTATCCCAGAGTGGCTGTCGTATCAGGATATCCTGCCTAGGACATCCTACTTCTGTGTCCACAGCACACATCCAGCGCTGTATCCAGTCCTCTCCGAGCCCTATTATTAGGGATGTGTTTACAGCAAGGCTGGAGGTCAGTGCATGTCAGACCATGGGGAGGGTCATACTTGCACCTCAGGGTTCATAACCACATTGATTCCTTCCCCTGCTCATAGGCTTTTTGGAGTAATTTTGCAGAACATTGCAACAGTCCTGGTTGTGAAAGACTGATGGATTGACAAGCCTCAAGCTTTTTCCTACTACATATATTAATCGACTTTTCTGTTCTTCTTTCAACTACAAGCACATTTTTGTTTCGCATTTCTGTCCTTCTGGTTCGTTGCCGACGCTAAGCATGCACTTTACACATGCAATGTTCTACTTTCAAGAGCAGAAGACACAAAGGAATTTTTAAATAGCTCTGAGACTTTATCTAAGGCTTCCAGATAAAGGTTGTCTTCACCTTTAGCCTGGTATCCTGTGGGCAGGAGGCCAAATGCATATGATCAGCATCTCTTTAAGCACTCAGCACTTAGAAATATCTGACAGGATGCACCTGAAGGATGTATGAAAAACAGCAGGCCATTCAGGAGGAGGAGGTCTTGCCCACACAAAGCAACTCACCCTTGTGCAGAGACTTACTGCAGCTTGATTGGAGCTTTGGCATACGGTCCGTGGGGCTGGGGGAGTCCCTGGTGTCCTGTGGCACATAGACCCTCCTGCTACTGCACAGTGTTCTTGACAGGGCAGCATTTTCAGGAAGCTTTGATTTATTTTTACAGCAAATAATTGTTGGTCCTACCTTTTTGGGATAAGGCCCTGTGTAGTCCACAGACCCAGCAATTTTGGTCAAAATTCACCCGTCTTAGCTCTGAAATCTTTTAAATGCAAGGAAGTGTTTCCATATATCTTAGCTGGGTCCTAGTTGTTGAGCTGTTAGCCTGCATTTACAGCATATTTAGTATTTTACTGTGTGTAGAGAGTGAGTAATTTCATTTAAGGAAAGAAAATGAAGCTGAGGTACTAGTAAGTTCCTGCAGCTCAGAACCTGAGGCTACAAAAAGGTGTTAAATCCCATGGGGTTTCTTTCTGCATACATTTGATGTCAAGCACAGGAGGGCCCTTTCTCAGCAGGACAGGAATTACCAGACGTCTGATACCAGTTAAGAAGGGGTGGCCATTTGCTGGCCCTGCAAAGAAGCACATTTTCTTTTGCTAGCTAGTGCATGGCTCTTGTTCTAGAGAGGAAGAATAAATCATGTTGTGGTTTTGTGCCAGCAGGGGACATGCACTGCTGTCAGTGCAGGTGGTTTAGAGACCTCAATACGTTTCCATTCTGTGAACTTCCCTTTGGGATGAGGCTTGACACAGGGTTGCTCCACACTAGGTGCCAGTGGAGCCCTCCACATCCATCCTTCACAAACCTGCATAGGTGTACCCAGCCTCTTGATTCAGTTAGATTCTGTCTTCCTGTGGCATCTCTGTTTAAGTCACAGTATGTCTCAAGTTGGTCCAAAGACTTTGTCTGCTCAAGAAGGCTGAAGATGTCTCCTTGTAGCTGGTGGGCCAGGGCAGTGTGACCAACACAAGAGATAACCCAGGAGCAATATCATGTTTATTATTTTGACAACAGGAAATAATTCCATGGGTTATGGTCACAGGAAACGGGGTGCATTACAGGACCTGGAGCCGGGCACATTATGCCTTTGAAAGTGTGAGAGCGCTGGCATGCAAAGCCAGCACCTGCAGCCCCACGTCTTGTGTTGGATACAGCATGCCATGAAGGCAGCTGAAATACAGTCCTCAACACTAAGACTGGATTTCTCTATTCTTCTCTTGAGGCACACTGCTGAAGTTTTGGAGGACTTGAGCTAAAGGCTTTGAGTTCCACATCCTTGTTTGTGGAGGCCAAATTGATGATCTTTGATAATCTACCTGCTTTCAGATCTCTTCTCCTTTGTGTTGTTGCTCTTGTGGCTAGCTCACCAACCTGACCACCTTGTCTAACTTTCTGTTGTGGTTAAACCCCATCCGGTAGTGAAGCACACACAGCTGACTTAAGTCTATCCCAGCCAAAACCAGTGCATTTTCCCACACAGTAGAAGAGAGCATTAGACCAATTTGTCTCATCTCCTGCACATCAAAGCGGTTTGACTTGAAAGGCTGAAAGTGTTGAGTGTGACTTCCACAAAGGCTGGGGCTCAGTATGCAAAAAGGACCGTTCTAGGGAGGTTTAATGGAGTTCAGAGGATGAGGCAGGAAGATGGGGAGAACATGAGCAACCAAGGTGGTTGGGCCTGCCATCATGGTGATGGGGAATGTTATCCCTCATGGAGCCATCAAATTCATTGTTAAGGGTGGGAGAGCCACCATCGCTCTTTGGGCATTCAGATGTTGGAGCAGGTATTCCCATGATGTGTTATAACTTTAATTATGTAGGGGACTATAGTAACCAATTTTTGCTTTACTAATCTTGTTGTCAGTACTGTGAGTGCTTTTTTAAGCCATACAGCTTTGGATCTGCAAAAAGACTGTTGAATGAGATAGAAAGAAGTGGCTTCTGCAGTCCTGCAGTCACTCATCCCCACCCGTTCATGCACCACCCACAGCACAGCTATTCCTATGGAGGACCTTTCTCTTCACCAAAGTACCTCTAAATCTAATGTAAGTGTTGTAGTTTAAAAAATATATAAACACCAGTCATATGGGGTGGAAACCTTTCTGCAGACAAGCAAACAAGCAACCTGTTTAAGAATATTAAGACTTGATGCACTCCATCACTTGAACTCTTTGATCCAAGGAGGAGTTGATCCCATAAGTGATAGCTGTGAAATTCAGCTTTACATTTGAAAAAAATGCATTTATTTTTTAAGCATCAGGTTTTGGAAAGAAAAATGTAGAACAAGCTACACAGTTACCATAACAGTGCCTTCAGCTTGCTTTCGCCTGATAAATGGAGAATTGTATGAGAAAGAAATCACAGTAAACAGCTCTCAGTCACATGCTAACTGATCAAGGTCAGTAAAAATCTTCATAACAACCACTGAAACGAGTTTCCTTCACTGACAGTATTATATAGTGTTCAGCTTATGAGAAAACTGCTAAATTGCCAACAATTCTGCATGCTTAACTGTGTACCTGAGCATCAATCTCCGCTCACATTTTTAAGAGACTACTTGCAGTGTGTAAACGTGTGTATCATCAGCATAACAAACTGCCCTTTAAACCAGAAAAAACATTTCCACCAACTTCACTGAGAGGTGGACTGCTTGCTTTCCCTGCAGCTTTCTCTCCAGAAAACTGTAGAAGTCTTCAACAGTACTCTCTTTGTGACAGTTACTTCCTTCAGATAGGCATTATTTTGGTGTTTTCACTTATAAACATGAAAGATTAAGTTGGTCATACTGTAGCCACATTGTCTTCTCACAAATGGGAGGAGAATTACAAGAGCTTACTGTATTGAATCAGTATGTCTTCACTCTCTTTTAGAGGAGCTCCAGTGTAATGCTTATTTAAACCTGCCTATTGTTTGCTTTTTTCCCCATTTTATTGTAAATCAGTCAAGTGGGAAAATATAAGATGCAGAAAATTTCTAGCTGAGTTAAAATGTAATTAAGCAGAATGGAGTAGTTACATTTAAAATACATACTTGGAAAGTGTTTCTGGTATTTCTTCTATTTTTGTAGCAACACGTAAGATACGGGTGGTTATGGAGATCTGTACACATTCCTTTTGAAAAAACCATAGGTTTTCAGAGGCAATAGATCAGTGCCTGTGTTCAGCCAAACAATCTCCAGGCACCATAAGGATACCCTTGAAGTTACCCAAAGTGGGTGAACTTGCCTGAAGAGCTGTCACTAATTTAAAGTAAAGGGTCAATGGCATCCTTTCTTGTCACTGCTTTTTGGTATCTTTATAGCTGATTTTGAAAGCCTAAATGTTAAGATTACAAGAGGAGCTGGTGAAAAAAATGACAATAATTTACTTAAGGAATTAGCCTATGCTTTGTTACTGAAGTCACCTTGGCAAGGACACCTCTCTTTTTTAGAAGATGTGTCACTTGAACTCATTGAGCTGAGGTTTTGTGGGGCAGAGCCATTGCAGGTACCTCTGGGCCCAAAAAAACCACACAGAAGAGAGCAAGGACCTGAATCCTACCACCGGCATCATCAGATCCACCTGCACCGATGCTGAGTCCGACTGTGCCCAGTCTGCAGCATGCTCCTGGTGATCCTGTTTCTCAGGATCCAAAGGCAAAGGCCATCTGTTGGTGCCCCCCTTGCCAACACGGGCAGCTTGGAGAGGAAGAAAGTCACTTGGAGCAAAAGGAGATCTTTGAGGATCCATTGGGAGAATTTCTCTTGCAGTAGGTGCAAGTTACAGGATGTATCAGCAATTAAGGAGCAGACTTAGAGCTTGGTGAGGAGGACATAATGAATGAGAGCAGGAGGGGGAGTGCAGGAAAGATGAAGCAGATGTAAGTGTGGTGACGAGTGGGACGCACTCGGCAGTGGAAAGCCGAGGCCGCCATGCTGAAGCAAGCTGCCAACCTTCATGCATCTGCAGCACTGACTGCAGAAAGAATAATGCCATTTATTGTTACTGGCCATTTTCAGGTTCTTGTATGCATTGTGTGCGTTTAACAGAGATGATGCTTCAGCGGATGTCAGTGTATGGATTTGAGATTGTCTCTGGCTTGATCATAGAGCCATGGAGGTGGGAAAGTAGAAGAAAAACTTCTGGGAGGTCTCCACCATTTCCTAGCGAAAGCTTTGTCACTCCCTCCTGTATCTTTTATAGCCCAGATAGGTCAGGCATGTGTGGCACAGCACTAAATGTAGTCACGCCAGTGGGGCCACTCTTCAGCTTCCTACATCTGGGTCTTAAACAGAGTTTTATCTTCTGTACACCAAAAGATTTCCTCTGCCACAAAACTCTCCTGCATAAACTTGCAGGGTTTTCCACAATGGAGCTGGTAATCAAGTATCATGGAACAGTCCCAGACTTCATATGAAATATCTCCATCCTTTTAAGCTGGCTTTCCTGTCATTCCTTAATTGATGAGGCACTCTCTTTGCTCATGAGCCGGCTCCTGATGACCATGCTGCTGTGCTTTGATATCTGGTCCTGAAACTCTGAAGTCATAAAGAAATACAGGATTGGATCCAAGCAGCAGTCCAGGCTTGCAAGACTTAAGCAAAAGGGTTGGGCATAGAGCGTGATGGTACTCAGGAAGCAGTCCGTAATGACGTTTTCTTTCACCAACATGTAGAAAAAGAAGTTGATGTGGTATGGTGCGAAGCACACGCAGAACACGATGGCACACATGGAAACCATCCTTAAAGCCTTCCGCCTCTCACTGCTGTTTTGAAGTGGTATCTGGAAGCCTCGAAGAGAGTCTTTTGTTTTCCAAGTGCAGAATAAAATAATGGTGAGTGGGCCAATGAACCCAAAGAGCTCGGCTGTGCCCATCATCAGCACAGTGGCCAGCTTGCTCTCAATCTGCCGGACTTGAAGGTCTGCAAAGCAGGTGTTTGTGGTTTTGGCTAGCCCATAGCTCCGCATGATGGGGAAGGGTAAGCACGCCACCCCAACAAAGAGCCACACCACGGCGCTGATGGCTACATCGTACCGCCGCTTCCAGTCCTTGGCTTTGAATGGCTGGTACAGGAAGAAATACCTCTGAATGCTGATACAGGTGAGGAAACAAATGCTAGCATACATGTTAAGGTACTTCAAGTAGAAGCACAGTAAGCAAAGGAATCTCCCAAAAGGCCACGTGGAGTTAATGTAATAATATATTCTCAATGGCAGTGAGAGGACGTGAGCCAGGTCAGCCACGGCCAGGTTGATCATGAAAATGATGGCTTTGTTGTTCTTGCTGATGAAGCGGCACAAGACCCATAGGGCAGCGCTGTTTGCCAGGAGGCCGGGGATGAATATGAGGGTGTACGTGGTGGCGTACAGGTTGTTTTTGAACGTTATGTTGTGGCTGGAGCAGGTCTGGTTGCTGTGTGTCATGACTGGGCTGCTGGAAACATCTGTTGTGGTATAGGGCGGGTGGATCATTCCTGTAGAGAACAAAAATAGGAGCTGTAAAGGCAAACGCACTGCAAGAGCTGTCAGTATTCACATTTGAATTTCCTATTTGACTATTCTGTACAAAGTAGAGGTTTGGAAATGTCTTCTATATAAAACATTCTGCTATCTTCTTCACAGCTGCCCTTTCAGAGGTCTACTACTCACACAGAGGTGGGGAACAATTCCTATTGTGTCAGTCCCTTTTCCCGGCTGTCTGAGTGTAAAAGCATGGGTGAAGCTGTGCCATATTGCTAACAGAGGAGCAGGAGAAGCTGCCTACCCTTTTGGCCATCTCCTCAAGGCCATATGTGGTTTTGTCTCTGGGTAGCAGGGCAGGCATACATGGAAGAAACATGTGCAGCAGCCCAGCTTCTGCATGTGAGTAACCACGTGGCCCAACTAGCAAAACGTGGGTGCCAACCACTGAATCATAGCTGTCATTAAGCTGTAGGTTAACTACTGTGTGGGTGGTGTGTCTCCTGACCCCATCAGTGGACCTCATGGACTCCCCTTCTCTGGCACGATGGGGACAGGATACGTGGAAAAGGGCAGCGGTGAGAGGGCTTGAGGAATTTGACGGTTGTAAATGCAGCCATGTAAATGCTCCTGAAATGTGCTGCCATGTATTTAATGTAATGTCACAAGCAGAGGCCTAATCTGATCACCAACTTCAATTTCTCACTACTCCATCAGCCTCAGTTTAACTTTTCTTTTCCATCAGATAATTCTGGATTTAGATACTACCAACTTCTGATTCTCTTTTGAATCACACAAGTAGGGGTGGCAAAATGTCACATGTTGACCTGTTGGGCCATATTTTTGTCAGCTTTTGTAACTGGGACTTGTCTTCAGTTAGGCAACACAGGCAGGAGGAGTTTGGTTTTATCAGGTGTTTCCCCATAGGGTTATACTTCTCATTATAGTGATTCCCTCCTGTGTCTAACAGAACATTTAAAATCGAATATCAGCTTCGTATTTCATGTGGCACTGCAGACACTGATTCATTCTTTCTGACTCATATCCTGCACCGTTGGCAAGGGCCATTTGACAGAAGAAGTGTCTCTGTAGGTACATATTAGTAACTTGTACCCTGTTACTAATGCTTTTTTCCTTCATGTTACATAAAAAGAGAAGACTTAGAGCTCTCAAGTGACAAAGAACACAAACAGCTTTTTTTTTCAGCCTGTTAATCATAGCAGTGCTTGGACTTGGCAGCTCGTACAGACACTGCTCAAAGCTGCTACTGAAGGGCTGTAATTCAGGCCCTAGAAACACCCAGGCCATGGCAAGATCCCAGCATGGCACAGAGGCCACCCCCACTATGGCTGCAGTGGCTCTGGCTGATGCTGATGGTGAGCAGGGGCACCTAACCACTGCTTCTGAGGGCACCTCAAGCAGATGCTGAGGCTCTTTCACTCTCCCACAGTCTTCAAAATGCAAGGTCTATGTGATTATCCCCTGCAGCACGCTCAGCTTCAGCAGCTGGGCTGCATCTTTCAGTTACACTAAACACCAAAGAAATGCTGCAGTCAAGAAATCCTCTATCTAATCACCTTCATTGACCAAGATGGCACAAGTACATGGAGGAAACGTGCCCCCACAGTTTGGTTTTGTCCCTCCAGGGCATCCCTCCAGTCTGCCTTTGCTCCCAGGAACCCTCGCTCCAAGGCAGCTATGTGATGAGATGCTCTGCACCATGCTCCCAGCTGCTCTCCACCCAGGACACCCCAGCCTTGCTCTTCTCATGAGGCCACAGTATGCCTATTAGGAAGGAAGAGGCTCAACAGGTGCTGGAAACAAGGGAAAAGATGCATCTGTCCCACGGCATTATCTCCATCAGGCTGAGAAGCAGTGTTGGAGGCCTGCTGCTCTCCTTTCTGGTGCTCCTCAGGAGACTGACAGGGAACAGACAGGCATGGAGCTGAGCACTGGGTTGTTCACACAGGGTGCTGCTTCTCAGGGCAGTAAGTCCGTTACATCCCATTTCTTGAGAGTCCTATGAATTTCTGGTGCTCGGGGAGTTTGTGCTCCCTTTCCATCTGGTTTGCCTGCAGCTCTAGCTGGACATGCTATCAGCTGCCTTTGTCTGCAGCAAGAGCACTGCTCACTACACCCAATTTCTGTCCCTTCAGTTGACCTCCCATTTTGTGAAGAAGCCATTAAAAAACCATTTCCAATGTTACAAGCTGCCTGGTTTCCCTTGGATGTCAAGGTTAGGCTGACTGCCTGGTGCTCCTTCAAATCGCAAGTGCTTGGTGGCCGTTGAAACCACAGAGGATTAGGTACATTTGCAAAATGTTCTATTTTAGGGATGCACTTGCATTTAAATGCTGGCCAGTGGACACGTGTTCTTCAGTTCAAATGAGTCATAACAGTCAGTTTGCTTCTTGAGATCCCTAGGTACAGTTAGCCCTTATTTACATTTCATGTGACAGCTAAGGACCAGACTGCAGGGTCAGCAATCAGAATGATCAAGTTTAGGCTGCTGACTCAAACCAGCCTCTAAATGGAGCCATTTAGGATAAACCACCGTGTCCAGGATGCATCTGCTGTAACATGAGGGTGATGCTGAACGCACACGCTTGATACCAGAATTCAGCCTTCACTTGCTGATTGCAGTAAGCTTGTCCAGGCATGCAGATCAGCACAGGGCTGGGCTGCAGCACGCCTGTGACCATGGTGGAGCCCACAGCATGGAGAGGTTACTCCTTGGCCTTTGTCTTCATTTGCTAATTGTCCACAAGGTGTCAGAGTTAATCAAGATTTCGTCTCCTTGCCCTCCTCTGTAAGGTATTTTTCCAAACCTCACAGGACCAGGGCTGTCTGAGTGGCGGGAGGCAGAAGTCTGAGTACGGTCTCCTGAGTTTGTGTTGCTGTCTTCCAGAGTGACTCCAAATTGGAAAGCTCTGTGTTGCTGAATAACTGATATTAGGGAAAAAAATGCTCCTAGAAATACTTCTCATTGCTGGTATTTACAGGTAGAAGAGTTGAAAAGATGCACTTTGATGGAGACCAGACAGCTGCTTTGAACCTTTGAGCCAAAAGGTTATAAAACCCAACCTGTGGAAATGCAGGTAATGTCCCATCCCTACCACCCTGAGCAAATGTAACAATGGAATTGATGAACAGTCATTTTCTGCATGATGTATGTACAGCAAAGGTAGAAGTCTGAAAAGCTCTATCAGATTTTAGCAGTGTTGACTTACATATTGCAGGGAGACAGCTCCTATTGGAATATTGTTTTCAGAATATGGAATTTAAAAAAATATTAGTAGTAAATAAATACACTATTATCTAACTATTAGTTTTTACATAATTATTTCTGAGGCTGTTGCAATAAGGACACAATCAAGTGTGCACATTATTACTTGTAGCTGAACGTTTGGAAACTAAATGTGGCATTTCTAGGAAAAACCTTGATAGGACTGAGGAGCATAGAAATGTCCATCAGCAGACAGGTTAACTGATCTGGTTGAGACACAAGTGCATCTACACTCTGCCCTCATTGCAGGGCCATGGATGTCTCGCGCTATTGCACCCATACTTTGGTATGAAACCTCTGCAGTCAGAAGTGGAACGCTCTACAGTTAAGGGTACTTTTTCCGGTGGTGTTCTTCCACATCAAAGAACAGATCTGGGCTGCTGATCCCTTGTGATGAGTTGTTTTTGTTTTGCAACACTAGTCCAGTTCTCACCACTGTGGCTCACGCAGCTGAAGGGCAGGGCATGCACAGGCAGCAGGATGCTGCAGCCTCACTGGGGTGCTTGCTCCAGGCTGGCTGAGAGCTGTACCATGGATGGACACCCATAATGGGTGCAGCTCCCATGGATGGTGATGTTTGCACCTGTGGCAAGGTCCCAGAACTTTCACTGACACCAGAAAACATGCCCTTGAATAAAAATCACACTCTTCCTTCACACATCCTACTGCTCTAGCCTGCAACTGAAATCCTCTCCTACACAAATCTGCAGCGAGCCAGATTCGACACGCTGACTCACCTTCGGTGTGACTCCCTTTTGATTTGCTTTAAGGAATTTCAGATTCTGGGGCTGCCCACTGTGAATCCTGCTGTAAATGCCACACTGCAGATGTGCTGTTTTCCTGGGCTCCCGTCAGAACCAAGCTGCCAGTGCGAGTAAATGCAAGCCCATCAGTAAAGCACCTTTTCCAAAGTAGTTTGAAAGCTTCAGCGCATGAAGTGAAGTTTTAATCCTGACCAGTGACTGCAGTCTGAATTATGAATTAAGACTGCCTCTAGATTTTCATTAACAAAAGCAAATCCAAGCAGTCTTGCTATTTTGTCATGTTGTGTCCCCTGACTATTACAGATTTCCTACAGCTGCAACTCAGTCAAAGAGCATTGGATGGCACAAAGACATGCAGCATGTAGATTCTTTTTTTCACGATAACATAAACCACCATCAGAAAACAGATTTGCAAGTTTCCCTTTTTGTCAAATATGATTTTAAAATAAAATATATTCCCTGAGAAACCAGGCAAAAGAAGGAATTTGTGCCTAGGAGAACAGTTGGAGAACCACTAATTACCCACGCTCTAACATTTTGCTTTCTCTTGCAACAGCAATTTCAAGCAGCTGCTGTTTGAACTCCTCCATGTGTTCACACAGAGGATTGGTGCACATGGAGAGCTGCTGGGTTTTTCAAGTCTCAAAGTGCCACAAATTTCCTCCTGGAAAAAGCCAACTTTCCCTAAGGAAAAGCTGGAGGAGAGCAACATTTTCATAGGAGACAGCACAGCTGGTTCTAGATAGCAAAGAGTGAGCTTAAAAGCAGTCTTACCTTTTCAGGCAGAAACTCAGCTACATGCGACCGTGCTGTCGGGAGGAAGTGGAGCGTCCCGTCTGCACCACACCAGCCTTGTTTACACGAGCACAGCGACCAACATGACATCATGGGGTGCTGCAAGGTGCTGCTTTGCCTGTGGCTCAGTGCTGGGGCTGCCACCGGGGCAGGTGCCTGCCCGCAACCTCTACCTGCTTCTGTGGGACTTGCTTGCTCCACTCCAGGTCCTGCTGAGCTCGATCCCAGCCAGGTGTAGGCACGGTTGCCCCCAAATCACATTGGTCCTACATGTTCTCTCTGCTGCTGCTCTGCTGGGACGGCTCAGCATCTCTTGAGCTGCTGTTTTGAAGAAGGTCCTAAGTGGAGCTGGGTGCTGCTCTGTGCAGAGCACCCCTGCCTCCTTTCCAAGCACAGCTCCAAGCTGACCATGGAAACCCTCACAAGGTTTCTGCTTGGTTCTCCCTGGGAAGTTCAGCCTTGCTCTCGCCTCCTGACCGCCGGGCTATAGCCAGTCATTGCTGTGTGTGAACTTCAGCTGGTGCGTGCTCTGTTTCACCTGACACAAAGTCCTCTTGCTGATGAAGTCTGACTTCCCAATGGCTTTTTATAGCGCTCCTATGAGCTTTGCTTGACATTTCTCTTGAACTAAAAAAGCAGGCAGCTCAGTTTACACTTGGAACATGCTGCCATTGAGGTCAAACGGTGGCACTTCTGAAATTGTTTCACGCAACGGGGTGGAATCCAGGCTCACTGTTATCCCAGGCTGTAAATACAGTACTGAGGCTAGGACTTTGCCCACTTACAGGATCTAATTGTTTGGATTTTCATGAAGCCACCAAAAATCTGACCTGTTTTGCCTCTTCAGGATCAGCCTCTGGCTTACAGTACGCAACTGTCCCTGTGGCTCAGCAGTTACACTCTCTTCTCTGTCTTGGTTTAAGACCTTGAAGTAGAACATCGCTACAGCTACTTCCTAACTTGGGGATAATATAGTTGTTGAAGTCTGACTGCTCAGAAACCTCAGAAACCCAGAACTAATGGCTCCGATTCAAGTAAGAATGCCACAACAGCCACCCCCTAAAATGCAATGCTGTGCTTTACAGTCATCCCTGTTTCCATCAGTTGTCAAAGGAGGTTGGTAGAAGTTGGGAGATTGTCAGATGTTTGTTTTCAGATTATTTATATGGGCTTTGTGAAAAGCAATAGTAAACTTTTGGCCAACGTTGCAGTGTTTATCAGTACATCCTGTTTAGCTAAATTTTAAAGTTCGTCAGCAATGGAAACATATTTGCTGGAGTTGTTCCAATCACAAAGTTGTCTTTAATATAAAACCACTGCACAACACTCTGCAGCCCAACAAGCTAAGAAGAGCCTGATCTGGGAACAGCAATTCAGAAACAGTTCCCTAGTTGACCCGACCAGCATTTGCAGAAAACAAACATTATCAAATATTCTACAGGTGCTCTCTTCTCTGCATGAGCTTCCATCTCTCACTCGGTTGTCACTAATAGACCTGATTGATAACCACAGTCTTTGTAGTAAGGAAAGGTGAAGTTGATTATAGTTGTGCTTGTACATGTGAAACGTTGCAGTGACATACGTCAACTGTAAGAATATAAAAGGATGCTTGTGAAAATGCACTGTGTACTTAAGAATCTGAACTTACTGTAGGGATTTTGCAGACACTTATACTGGTTGAAGCTGTACTTTCCCTATAGATCTTTCTTCCCTGATTACGCAGTTAAAACTTCAATTTTAGCATGCCAAAGACTGTTCCTGCTCTTGGTTATTGCTTACCGGAATCGTGAGCTTGCCAGGCATATTTGCTACCATAATTACCTATATTAGAGGGGAACTTGGCTCCTGCAGAGCAGCATGGGCAATATTTCCTGGAGTTCAGGAAAGGGGCTGGATCTCAGCTGTGCCTGTGCACTCTGGGCTGCTCACTTTGTGGACCTTTCCCCATGTGGGCTGCAGTATGTCTTTAACACGGAGATGAGAAGCTTGTTTGGAGCAGCCTCCTTGGGAAGAGGATGCCCAAGATGCTGCAGCCTGCAGAGGTCCCAGTTGGTTTGGGAGGCATCAGGGTTTCACCACAGCAGCAGCCTGGACGTTAGCACATTGGTGCCAGCACTGCTGCTGTTCTGTGATGCATAGTTGAGCAATACACGCTCTCACGGCTTGAAGGAGAAAAACAGCTCCACATTTGTCTGTCTATCTGTTAGTGTAATGTGCAAGAATGCATGAAAACATGTAGAAACAAATTACAACCCTTAGTAGGAGCCAGGGGGGTAACAATTTTATGTCTAAATTAGTATTAGTATCACTAATATGATATGATTATTAACATTAGCCTGAAATAAAGATGCAGAGTTAGATTTCATGCCATGGCGTGGACAGCAAATCTATTCCTGACAACTCGAGCCTTCGTAGTATGTAAAAGCAAATACTGAGTGAAAGATAATACCAAGAAGTTGCATGAGTATGGTCAAAAGTTGCACTGTAACAAGCAGAAAGGAAATATTTGTACCCCAATTGTCTGTCTTCTGATGGAGGATTAGATGGGCATATTTAAAGGAGTACAATGCCTTAGAAAGTGAAAAGCATACATGCAGATTAAAGCATATAACTGTGTTGTTTATTCTAACCCCCTCCTGAATTCTATAATCAGATAACAGAAAGAGGAACACAGGATGGCAAACATTTCAGCATTCTCTACTTTTATCTGCATATTTGGGCCCCCAGATGGTAATCAGCTTTTCCTTTTCAAAAAAAAAAGTAGGCATATTGAAAAGGTAAAAACTGGGTGTCCTGTGAGAGATAATTTCAAATTACCTGCCTGTGCTTTTATGCCAACTGAAAAATCATTGCCCATTAGTGGCTTTTTTGCTGTTACAGAGCTACAGTGCCATAGCACGGTTAAATCATGTTGCTAATAATTTCCTCTGGTCCTAATACAGATGCACACATTACTTTTGTCCAAAGGAGAGGCAGATTCTGTTTGAAATAGGTAAGTTTTTAATTCAAAACGGGAACATTTCCCAACAGAGAAGCCTGCTAGTTCTGCCTTAGTTCATCACTGAACACATCCCACAATACTCACTCCCTTCCGTGGGCTCTTGAAGCTGTGACTAGATAATGAATTGAAAACATTTACATCCAAGTCTTCCTGGTAACAAAAATATTCCTCTCTGACAGCAGAAAGAGGAAGGAAATCTTGGAATGTTTTAGAGTGTGGGGTACCCAAAACCATGGAAGCTCACCCCAGATTTTATTCAGACCAGCTGAGCACCTTGAAACTCTGGAAATGGAAGAAATGCAGATGATTTTCTTGGGGGAATCTGGGGCTTGCCAGTCCAGCCACACGTATTTACCCATCAGAACCACTGCTCTTCTGTTATCGTTATTTCATTCTGAAGTTCTGTTTTTCAGCAGAAACTAAAAAGGAGGAAACAAGTCTTCACTCTAAGACACCAGAGCCTCTGAGAAGTATTTTCCATGCAGCTGATACTAAAAATAGCTTCATTGGTTGTCTTTGCTAAAACGTCTTTGCCATCCTTTACAGTTCAGACCCACCTGACACACAGAATCCAGTACCAATGGCCTTTTGGAGAGGATAAAAGAAGCGGAGGGAACTGTGGGGGGGCATGTGTGCTTATTTTTGTCTGTGGTGATTTTAATCTCTTTGTCCATTTTGTCCAAGAGGCGTGCGAAAGTCCTCTTTCCAAGGGTGTGAGTAACCCTATAGTAGCAGCTGCTGCAAGCCTGCACAAGTGATTCCATTTCCTCATCCACACAACGTATTGAACACCTTCACGTGCCCTTAGGATCTTTATGCTAGCTGCCATCGCTCAGTGCCCAGCAGGGTTCCTGGAGGAGAAAGACTGGCACCAGCTAGTGAGATCCAACTAAACGTAAAGGTTATACAGTTAACAGGCTGTAGAGCATCTCTGCATAAGGATCTTCTAGTATCAGATCATCATTCTAAGGAAACTAAAATCAGAAGCTATCTGCTAGAGTTATGCCAACTCTTACATGCTGGTGACTAACCCCTCTTGTATTGGGAAGCAATTATAAGAGTAGTGGTAATAAAGCCTGCAATAGTGGTGTGAACTTGAACAACCTCAGGTTGCTGCCATTGGTAACGTACCCGAAACAGGAGATGAGATTTTGAACCTGTATTGGAACCATTCCCCTGCCCCAGTGCAAGCCGTCAGATGCAGGAACTGTGAAGTGCGGTAGTGCCTGTGTCAGCAGGGGAAAGCTCATGAAACCGGTGTGGGAAGATCCATGCTTCTGAGTTCAGGTATTTGCATGTTTGTGGTACTTCCTCTCAGCAGCCCAAAGGAGTTCCCATCCGTTACACGACATTGCTTAACCAGCGTAGGAGAGCACAGCGTGATTTAACACAGGGGGAGAGGCAGAGAACTGGGCACCAGGAAGGCTGGGAGGAGCACAGAGCTTCTTCAAAAGCCATTGGTGTGCCAATGTCCCAGATATTGTCCATGATGCTGCAGGCAGCTGCAACCTGAACATGCACAGTGAAGGGTAAGCATTTTCATGTGAACTGGAACACAAAAAGCAATGAACTCCATGGGGGATTCCCAAGACTGGAAAACACCCTCTTGATAAATATGAGCAAACTCCACTCATGTTCTTCATCACACTTGCTTCACAAGGTTGTGCTTCCCCTTTCACTTCATTTGGTTAGACAGCAGCAAGGGTTTCAGCAGAGAACTTCATTAGACTTGAAAACTAGGAATAACCTGACAAGAATGAGGTCAGACTACTAACATACACAAATGAGATTGGCAAGATTAAACCATACAAGAGAAAAAGCAAAAGCAAGTCAACTAAACTCAAGATATCAAAGTACCGGTAGGGGCTTGGCACTAAAGTTAATCCCCTGTAAACCCCTTTCATATCTTCTGCCCTAAACAAAGCCAACTGCAGCTGAAGGAAGATTAAAGCCTTCACAACTTCACTGGCTGCCCTTCAAAACAATAACCAAGAGTGTGCAGCCAGCAGCACGTGGGCTGAGGCTCGAGCAGCGTACATGTCGCTGGCAGGACTTAGGCTAACAGGAATCCAGGCTGGAAAACTCTTCCTGGCATCCAGTCAGTAAAGAGGCCAAGAGG